AGCCATGTGTGTGTGTGTGTGTATGGAAAAAGGGCAAATGTAAGGCTTTCACTACTTCTCATTGTAATACTATTTAGATGTTTAGAGTGCAGAGGAAATCTGTCTGTTTGTTCAAGATCTTCTCCTAAATGGTAAGAACTAGGACCACCAAATATTGGATACAGCTTCCTCTTACAATTTAAAACAAGACAAGGGGTTGATTGTTCCACGAAAACAAAATGTGCTTGGAACAGGATTGCTTCTCATTAAACCAAATAGAAATGGGACCGAATCATCAAAGCAAGTACTGTCCTCAAAATTCACATAACTGAGCAAATCCTGAAAGAGACTGAATCAAGATGAGCAAGAAAAATAGGATGAACCTGGAATAGAATTGCTTCTCAGCAAACCTTACAGAAAAGTCATAAAATGGAAAAAATTGGAGTAGTGGTCTGTTCTGGCACAGCTAAATCAATACTTAAGGTTTGAAAACTGAAGGAGAATGTTATTGGAAACCAAATTGATTATAGCCCTTTTTTGTTAGAACATAGTGAATCATAAGAGTTTATAGGGATAAAGAAACAAAATACACCTTGATAGAATTCCCAAATTACAGAGCCTGCAACACTGGGTAAATTTGCTAGTAATAAATATACAGCTGCTTTCCACTGAATTTACAGAACACAAAGACTAAATTAGATTAAGGGTTCTAAGCTTTTCCAGACTACTATTCCCCTTTCAATTAACTGATATGTCTTGTGTACCTCAAGTTTCACCTCACTTAATAGCTACTCGTTCACAAAATCTGACATAAAAATACAAAAGCCTCACAGCACACTTAAGAACATAAGAACACAAGAATGGCCATACTGGGTCAGACCAACCATCCATCTAGCCCAATATCCTGTCTGCCAACACCAGATGTTCCAGAAGGAAGGAACACAACAGGCAATCCTCGCGTGATCCCTCCCTTGTCACATACCTCCAGAGAATCAGAGGCTAGGGACACCATTCCTACTTATCCTGGCTAATAGCCATTGATGGAGCTAACCTCCACGAATCTATCTAGCTCTTTTTTGAACCCTATTAAAGTCCTAGCCTTTACCACATCCTCTGGCAAGGAGTTCCACAGATTGACTAAGTGAAGAAAAACTTCCTTTTGTTTGTTTTAAACCTGCTGCCTATTAATTTCATTTGGTGAAATTAGTTCTTACATTGTGGGGAAAAAGTAAATAATTTTTCCTTATTCACTTTTTCCATACCAGTCATGATTTTATAGACCTCTATCATATCTCCCCTTAGTCTCCTCTTTTCTAAGCTGAAAACACCAAGTCTTTTTAATCTCTCTTCATATGGGACCCGTTCCAAAACCCTAATCATTTTTGTTGCCCTTTTCTGAACCTTTTCCAATATATCTTTTTTGAGATGAGGCGACCACATCTGTACGCAGTATTCAAGATGTGGGCGTACCATGATTTTATATAGACACAATAAGATATTCTCTGTTTTATTCTCTATCCCTTTTAAAAATGATTCCTAATATTCTATTTGCTTTTTTAAAAAATGTGCCTACTTATTGAAAAATTGCTTATTTTCTAATTTTTACCATATAATTATAAAATAAATAAATTGAAATATAAATATTATACTTACATATCAATGTATAGTATATAGAGCAGTAGAAAAGAGTTAGTGTCTGTATGAAATTTTTTGTTTGTATTAACTTCACTAGTGCTTTTTATATAGCCTGTTGTAAAACCAGGTACATATTTAGGTGAGTTGAGTAGACTTCTGAGTACTTCCAGAAGTACATGTACCCATGACTGAGAATCACTGCATTAATTTAATTGATTCACTATGGTTGAAGTCTAGACTTTCACATTTCTTAAATTCCATAATGGATTCAGCCTTTTGGACAACTTGTTTTTCTGGAATCTCCCCTTATTTTCAACAGTACATTGGCATAACAAATTAACTGAGCGGAATCATACAAGACCTTTTTCATGTGTTTTTTAATCAAACTTAATTTTCATTTACACCTGAGCAGTCCCAATGAAATCAACGCCACTGAAAAAATTAAATATGCATCTGTGTTATTTATGTAGCATGCCACAGATGAGGAAAGATCTGGACTCCAGAATTAAACAAAACTTGGTGATCAATGATTATAATTGCAAAGAAAATTTGCTTAATCATTTTCTGCTGCTTGTCATAGAAAAGATACCGAAGTGCTGTTGAGGGTCTGAATAAAGCAGACAATACTTTTAACTTGTGTATCTTTGATCTTTTTGTTATTTTTAGGAGAAATGGGGGACAAAGGACAGAAGGGCAGTATGGGTCGCCATGGAAAAATTGGTCCCATCGGTTCAAAAGGTATATTTGATTGATTTTTTTTTCTCCCGTGATATCTCATCTAAATAATCCGTGGTCATTTATCTTTGAGATGACACCTTTTCTTAATTAAAATGTTTTAGATTGTGTCAGGGCTAACCACAGTAGATAGCGAGACTTATAGTTAAATCATAGGCTATGTCTAGACTGCAGAGTTTTTCCAGGTTATCAGAGGTTTCCCGGAAAAACTCTATGTCCAGGCAATGCATCCACTTTTTCAGAACAGTTTCCAAAAAGTGGGCATGTTCTTTCAGTATCTCCGTATTCCTCATTTTATTAGGAATAAGGGATGTTCTGAATAGGGGCGGCCTGTGGCTATAGGCGGACTATGGCACCGCCGCCCGGGACGCCCGATGATGATGTCACGGGTGCCCAGGGTGCCTGCCGATGATGTCAGTCCATTGATGGCCCTGCAGGAGGGGGCACCGATCGCACGCTCTGCCTGGGGCGCCAGCTGATGAAGCCAGCCTCAGGCCACTCCTGCTTCTGAATGAAAGAGGAGGTTTTTCCGAAATTTGGCCCCTGTAGACGGGCCAAATGTTGGAAAAGCTTCTTCTGAAAAAACAAGCGGAAAAAGATATGCAAATTGCATGTGCAGTTTGCGTATCTTTTTCCGAAAGCCCTCTATAGTGTAGACATATCCATATTCTAGTTCAGTGTTTCTCAACCTTTTTTTTATAAAGTACTCCTTTAAAAAAAAAATTATAAGTACCCCCAATATCTGTTTTCAGACACATTTTTTTCTACCATTGCAACACATTTGTTTAAACAACTTAATTGTAGCCGGGCAAGTGATGACATTTTTGGGTGTAAAAAGTACAAAAATAATAAAGCGCTGTAAAACTTACAACAAAAATTCAATTTTCTCCACATTTCAGTTGTGTTGACATAGCCCCCAGACTTCTCTCAAGTACCCCTAAGGGTACTCATACCACTAGTTGAGAAACACTGTTCTAGTCAATCAAATGATGGATATCTCTGAAATGTTTACCTTATACACTGACACATAGCAGGATCCAAAAGGTCTCAGAAACCTGACATGGGTACATGAAAGAGTTTTTAAATGACATCAGCTTCCAAGTACACATATTTAAAGGGGAGTGGCTGGAAAGCAGGATTGTACTTTGGTAGAAGACCATGAGGTCTTAATGTCTTGGTCTTCCCACAGACTTCGTATGTGACTTTGGTCAAATTATTCTGAACAGCATATTCAAGGGGGCTGTCTAAGTTTAGGCTTTTAAATAAAAATTTAGGCACCTAAATATAAGCGACCTGATTTTCAGAGTTGCTGCTTCCTCACAAGTTTCTCAGAAGCCATTGCTCTATAAAGTGCGTGGGCAAATGCTGGTAGAGAGTACAGAATGAAACTGATCATGATGTTTATCCCAGAATTCAAACTACACAGTTCAGGCCTGTCTTTATGGTGAGCTGACTGGGACAACAATGCAAATCCTTTGGCATCTGGTGCCCATTTCTACATTATTTATTTTATTTTTGCCTTAAATCTTAGCCATTAACACAAAAAACCCTGTTTAGAAACTTTCTGTTAATGAAACTGGTGACCCAGTCTCTTTATTGAGCAGCACATTGATATCATTCTTTATTTTTTAGGTGAAAAGGGAGATAATGGGGATATAGGGCCACCTGGTCCTAATGGAGACCCAGGTAAACCATAAGATATACAAAATGTGTAGTTTATTTTAAATGTATAAATCATGTACAGTACACCTTCCTTTTTAACATGCTGAAGAATGATGTTAAAACTTACATTTTTTAATAACCTCTTCCTTTACTGCACATCCACAGGTTCTTTTACAGTTTGTTGAGGATGCAGTGCCTTCTCGAAGTTCTGTTGTAATTCCTTCTGGGGTAGAGTACTGCTTGGCAGAATATTCAATAGCTCCCCACTAACTCAACATGGAGTTAGTTATTCCAGAAAGCTATTGAGAGCTGAAATGCAACTTGCTGCCAGTCATTCACCAACATGCAAAAAGACCTCTCCGAGCATCCTACTTAGGCCCTGATTCTGCATTGAGAACCTTCTGGGGGACTCCTGTACCTTTACTGACTGCAGTGGAAGATTGCATGGGAACAAAGCGGTACATGTACTTGAGAGGTGGAGCTGTAAACATGAAAAAGGGGGTACAATCAAATAAGTTTGAGAACCACTGATTTATACAACTGACCTTATTTTGGTTTTCAAGATTATTGTGATGTTTATGCTGGTGAAGAGGAGCTGTTTTCCAAAGCCCTACTAGTGTCATTTTTAGTGTAATTTGAGACTCTAAAAAATTACCA